GCTGAATTGTCAGGAGCTTGGGGCAGCTTGGTGTGCATCTCCGCAATTTGTCTGACTGGGTCTCAGGAGGCAGAAGGGAACTAACCTGTGGCAAGGCAAGGCAGCTTGACCATCCCACGCAGAGTGCCGGAGTCATGCCTGATGCTGCCGTTGACCCACCATTCTGGCATAATGAGGTATTGTCAAAGCTCCGTTTGAACTTGTCGTGGCCTTACACTTGTGTCCAAGCTTTTTGTGTGCAATCTCCATTGCTGAAGGTCCTCCTGTGAGGCTCTTGACGCTGAGGCTTGGTGTAGCATGAGTGTCAGCGCTGCGCGCCCATCTCAAGCAGAGCTGTGCAAGTCACAGAATCAAGAGCTGAGTATGCATAATCCAGTGTTGACAACACAGTCCAGTGATAGGCTTAAACCTAGCCGCACTGTAGCCACAAGTATCATTCCTTCTCGTCCCCCTCCTACTACTACGACTACTACTACGACTACTACTACTACTACTACTGCTACTACGACGGCGACTACGACGACGACTACGACGACGAAGACGACCACCGCGACCACCACGTCCACCACGACCACCACGACGACCACCACGACCACGACGACTACAGGGATTATTGAATTATTGTTATTATGAAGTTTATGATTACCATCATTTTTGTTAGTTTTGCTGGTACTATTATCAGTATCCCAAGTAAAGGCTCAAGCCTGGCCTGTGTACGACACTGGTTTTAAAAGCAGTCGCCATTGTTATGTGATCCGAGTCGTTGAAGGCCGGTGTCAGCCTGCAAAGATGTTGGGAAGAGCTTCCCAGCGTCAGCGGCTAAGATGACAATGCCCTCACGCAGCTTTGCTTTCCATTGCTTTCCGTTTTGCAAGGGCTGTCCATGTGTGTGTGTGTCTTCCGCAAACTTCTGATGTGGAGGATGTGGATGTTTGGATCGTCGGCTCTCCGGGCCCCTTGGCTTAGATGTTCACTTCTGCAGTAAGATGCAGCTGTCGTAATGCTGGAGCCGCCAAGGAGATGGTACCTCTAGCCTCGTACCGCTTTGACTACCTGCTTGGATTAAGCTTCGGCGTCGTCAGACTGGAGCAAGGGATTGCATGCAGTGCGGCACATGCGTATGTTTCACTAGCTTCAGCGGCCATTCTGGAACAGCTGGGAACCTGGCAAATTGAACCAACCTGAAGTAAGGGTTTTGCAAGTCGTCCTCATTCGTTCAAGAACCCAGCTACTCTCATCTCCAAACCGGCCTGGCCGGCTGCGTAATTTGGCGGCCAAAATCCCTGGCAAATGCTGGGGCAGGCAAAATGAAGTGACTTTCGGGAAGCTAGTTCACCAAGCTGATCAGAATCCATGGATACGTTCAAAACGTGAACACCGAACGTCGCTGCACCTAGGATGTTGCCTGACATGCATGCAGCTGTCAATGACCCCTGACTGTCGACATAGTGTACAGCGCAGTTGTTGGCTCCATGCCAGCGCTGCTGCCATGTTCGCAGGCTCGCACTTTCCAAGCACGCTGTTTGCAAGCCCGCAGCAAGTGTTTTTTGAAGCTCTGTGTAGCATTATTTTTGCGGCACTTGCTCCTGACTCTGTGGCCAGGATGTGCGTCAAGAGGCTCAAGCTCAGAGCATTTCTGTCAGAAAGACCTAGTTGAATTATTTCAATGGTTTTGAATGCTTGCCAGGCATTTTTTTCTGCTCATGTTTTTTTTTTTGAAAGCTTTGTTGCAGGTATGTCGTTTATGCACATTGTCTATTTCCCATGTTAATCATGCCCATGGCAGCGTTGCAGCACCAGACTTGTCTGTGAATGCACGACGCAGCACAGCCACTCATTTAATTTTTTGAGCTAACTTTCTTATCAACTCGCGCTGTTTCCCAACACTGTCATGGTCGCCATGCTGCGCACAACACACGCTGGAGGAAGCTGGGGGCCTTACTGGAAGTCGTGTAGATTTGTCAGGTTCAAGATTAATTTCCAAAGTCTAGCCGGCCTTTTGTTGAATGCAAAGCCAGCCTTTTGCAGTGTCAGGTGGTTGCACAGGCCTGGGCCGAAGACCCAACGCACCTGAAGCCTCAGCACGTTTATTCATGTTTTGATTTTTCTGATGTCCATTGGAAATATCGTCTGCCCTTTTTTGACAGTTGGCCAATTACTCCAAAGAAATGCGCACTTGAACAGCGAAGCCTAGCGATCCTCGATGCTGCTCCTTGCGTCTGCCTTGCTGCGTAAGGTTGGGATTCTGCAGCTTTAGGAAAGCTAACATGCTGTGACAGTCAGGACAGAATGCATGCAGATTTGATTGCTCTCGCTTTTAGACATCCCAACTACATTCCTTCTTGGAAAAAGGTATGAGCGGAAAGTGCAGGCAAAGTGGCATTGTTAGGTGTACATCTTAGAGGTATGCTGAATAAAGCTGGCCTTCACCAAACAGGATGTAGGATCAACGGCGACTTGATGTTTGGGCTCAGAATGTAGAGATGCCCTGGCCCAGCACGCACCGAACGGTGGGGGGCCTCGTATGGCATCGGCCCCCTCGCAGGAGGTATGGGGCTCAGCAAGTAAGATGACTGATCTACCACCTGTGGATGGCTGAAATCTTGAGTTTGGCTGGTTTGGGGCACAGCTATTTCAGCTGTCTTCTTACTAGATCCAGTGCCTGTGCATGATGTGCAAAGTAAAAGAGCCTGCACATGACGGTTTCTGAGCTGGACTGAAAAGCACGCCGTCAAGGGCTCCTGTCAGGATGGAGAGGAAGGGTTCTCCAGTATCGCGGAGTACCTCTTTTCAGCACTAGAAGCTGCGTCTCGGCTGGTTGGGTGGAGCTTCAAATGCTGGGTCAGATGTAGCCTTCCTTGCGCACAACGGACAGGACAGGGTATCACAGCTAAGGAAGACAGATTGCAACCGTATATTGATGAAGCGGCGAAGGACGCCGCACTTGATTTTTTACACCATGCTTCCAGCCTGAGCGAGAGTATGGGAAAGCGGTCCTTTGGTCCTGGCAAGTTGCCTTCGCAAGTTCTCGTGTCAAACATTTGCGATGAAGATTTTGCTGAATCTCCAAGTCGCCTGGTTCTCCTGGACATTTACCTGTGAATTTTCACAGCAAAGATAATGAACCACCTGCCAGCCTCGAGAGAAAAAATATCATGTTTTGCCAGTAGCTGATCCATTACCCTTACAGCATTTAGAAAAAAGGCACCCTAATTGCGCTAAGTCTTCTGGCCACGGAGTAGCTTTTCAAACTTCCGAGCCGTTGGCCTCTCGTCAGGATGACGTCCTGGCTGAGCTACAGCTCCTCCTAGAGGAGGCGGGCGAAGATGCCTGCTCAAAATGGCACCTAGGCTCTCAACAAGTCAGTACCGCTTGGCAGTTGCTTCAATTTGATGTGGTAGGCGTTTGTGTTTTCTGGTTTTCTTTTGATGAAGTTTTGGTTCATGTGCAGCGATTTCTTTTTCTTCTTGCAGATGCAGAAGTGCAGAAGCATGACATCTTGGAAGCTGAGAGTACATAACTCAAGAATCATCAGAAAGCGTTTCAAGGTCAGATGGAGCACACGTCTTCAGTGAACGCACGGTTGCTGGATTTCTCGATCTGGTCTCCTCGCTGGCAGAGACCCCTGGCACAGCCATTGGATGTGCTAGGCGTTTTGGACCCAGTATGTTCAGCAGGTATGTTTTGCATCATTCCATGCATCACCGATGGTTGCTGAGCGCCTTGCTTTGCGCTGTGGACCACTAATTGTGGTCCAAGCAAACTACTGGCACAACACACACACACACACCCACTCATGCTGCCCAGCTTGCCAAGGGATGCAGATCAAAATCCATCGGATGTGCTCAAAGAGACTCTGTCTACTCTCCGCACGGAATGTCGACAGGAGCGATCAGATTCTTAGTTGTCTCAGTAGCTGACGAGCTGAAATGGCTTTCATCAAGCACACGCTGACGCTTGGTGTTTGTTCGTTTGAAAGAAGTCTTGCGACTGCAGGCCGATCCCAATATGGAGCGTATGAACTATCATGAATCCCAGCGCGGATGAACAAGATTTCTCAGCCTGGTGAGATTCAAAGCAGCAAGCCCCAGAACAAGTCTACCATGTTTAACGCCGGACAGCAAGGCTACCATCCTTAAAGAAGTTGCTGCTGGTTGCCTTGAAGCACGCACTTGAAGCATTCGAGTAGCCGCCATCGCCTGCTAACATGACCTGTTTGGTCTTCTCCTCTCCACATGGAGCCCCCGATCTAGACACATCCGCAGAGATTGGGCTTGGATCCTATGTGAAATGGGAGCCAGCAGGACCCACGCATGCAGCGATTTCTTGCAGAACTGCGAGCTGATGAGGAAGGCCCCAGGATTATTTGATAGAGTCTGTCAACAAGAGTGCATTCGCATCGTTGCTTCGCAGTGCCGTCGAAAGCCTTGTTGAGGTGGACTCACTCCAACATCAGTGATTGGTGAGGGGGCGAGTGGCGATGATGTTGTCACAGACAGCCTAGATGTGCTGCTAGCTTACACTTCCTTGTGCTAGCACTCTGCACGCGCAGCGCATGTTTCTTCAAGGCTCGTTATGGCTCCAGAACAGGCGCTATCCTTGAGAGCAACGCAGCAGCTAACCAGACCTTTCCTGATAGCCAATCAAAAGCCCGAGTAATGATGTCACGCTTACCCTGAAGGCCGCGGAGTTGCAGAACGCATGGAACATGTTCATGGAGTGTTTCAGTTCCCGAGACGCTGCATGTGACACATTATTCGTGCCTTGGCAAGAGTAGCTTGTCCAGGCTTAGTTCTGAAGATGTTGACTTGTCATATGCTCATGTTGCATAGGCTGGTGGCAGCCGAAGCCCTGTATTTGCATATTGTGTGTCCATGTGCCTTCTGGAGAGGTATTGGAAGGGGCTAGGGCTATGAATTGAACATCTGCTCCCGACTGAGGCCGCATTCTATGATGCGGCTCCTTCTTTGCAGAGCCTATTCAAAACCTCGAAAGCGGTCATGGCGGGCAGGCTGATTTTCAAGCGGCAGAGCACAATTTGTTTAGTCATGCGTATCCTGCTGAATGTGCGCATGATGCAGGCCATAATGTGTGAGCATGCTGGGAAAGAATCTGTTTTCTTGCAGCTGGACATGTCGCAGGGCATTTCTGCATCCTGTGGTGCGCTCCTTTTGGTGTCAGGTTTGTCGGAGGCATAGAGAGCATTGTGATGGCTCTGCCGAACGGCAAGGAAGCAAAATCCCTGGTCGAAGTTTTAGGCTTGGGGCCGTACGCAGTAATGGCAACATCTGGTGCTGAAATGGCATGACCTGAAGGTTTCAAGCACCTCGAAATAGAGGTGACTTCACCTCGCATCGCAGTTTTCAGGGAAGCTATACTGGAGACCTTCACTGCGGAGCAACTTCGAAAGCACGCAGGCGCGTGTGGCGCACGCGATCCGAGATGCTTGAATTGTGATGTGACCTTTGGTTTGAAAATGGCCACTGGAGTGATCAAGTCAGCTAAGGCTTGGCGATCGTTTCACTACGCTTGCTTACGAGGGTCTTCGGAAGATAATGAACTACGCCGGTGGCGGGTGCGTGTATCTTCGTGAAACCTTTTCAGCTGCCTGGCAGCGGTAGCCCTTTTGCACTTGGCTGTTGCTATTGGACATCTTGTGACTCTGTGCGCGAACAGTGCAAGCCAAGGAACGGTTGCGAATTCTGGCGACAAGCTGGAGAACTGCAACTGCTGACGGACAAACACAGGATGATGACTGGGACGAGGATTTTGCGGACTCAGAGGCCAGGTTTGGACACAGCGCCTTCATGAGGATTAGGTCTTGTCGGGTTTTACTCCGTTGACTCTAGTGCAACTTGCTGTGCTGTGTTCAAATGTACAGCTTTTGCGAACCAGGCAAGAGGATCTGGAACACAAACCGTGTCACGGACAATGAAGTCGGAGGAAGATGAGCCAAAGGTGCAAGCAGAGGCTCCTCCTGCAGAAGAACTCCAGGAGAATCCCAACAAGATAAGCATGCAGGGTGTGACTTGTCTGCTCAATGGAGTATTTGGTTGAGGCAGCCAGACTCAGCTGTCACGCCAGCCAAACGAACAGTCCCTATGCTGCGCCAGGTTCCAACGAGCTTTGACGACATGTTCCGCTTCAATGCTGCTGTCATGGGTATGGCAGACAGGGACTGGATGTATGAAGTCCTGGACTGTTTTGATGCAATCGTTCGGAACATCGCGAACTCTTTCCGGCTACAGGAGCTCGAGGGATTTGCATGGGCTAGCAGTTAGCAGGCATCGGCAGGTTGCAAGCGCGACGAATGCTCAATGCTGCAATGATCAGCACCGGGGTGGTATCTTCCTTCCAGCTAAAGCATTTGAATTTGTGGTGCAGAGGAAGAGTGCGACGTGCTCTCCTTGCGGTTTGCAAAGCTACCAGGCACGGCCACAAGAAGCTTTCATGGCGCAAAGCAGCAAGAGTGCTTGTGAGAGGGGCTGCCAAAGATGTGTGATGCATGCTGCTCGGGTTAGTGTAACAAAATTTGCAGCTTCCCTCATCTGCTCCATCCAATAATCAGACTTAGGAGGAAAAAATTGTGTTGCCGGTGGCGGAGATCAGCATGTTGCCAGTGGCGATTTTGCAGGTACGTTTCCAGCCCCTCACTAGACCCTCTTCGTTGGGTGCTCAGCTTAGTGAGAGGGAGCACCCCCCTGCC